GGTTATGTACGCTTTCAGAGTGATGGCACAGTGGTTCCTACACTGTCGCTATCAGTCCCCGTGAGTTAGTTTGAATTTTGTTCTCCAAAGCCAAGCACAACGTTTGTAAAAAAGTGGTATTTGTAGCCTGCACTAGAAGTCGCCTAGGTTTGATCTAGCCTCAAATATGTGCCTGCTAGAATGTGTGAATGTCAACACATGGGGAATGAAGGTGGCTGCGTGTGATGCTGGCCACACCATTCCTTTGTGTGCAGCACTCGCCTCAATAGGTGATCGCTAACAGCACTGTTTTTTCACTTCGTGAGTCTGAACGGAGGACAACTGTTTTGCGTGCCTTTATACGTATGCGTGTTTGTTGAACTGTGTTTCGCAGCGTACGTAGTCAACCGTGTTAATCGGAGGTGCGGGGGAAGGACAACAAACCAAAGACAAATAGCAGTTCGGAAAAAAAATGAGTTATGAATTTAGATTTAAAAGTGCATAGATCCAGTGGCTTCCTAATATCGGACGGAAGAGCATTCCAGACGACAGCAAAAGCGCACCTGAAAGCATGCGATGCAGTGACTGTCATTGTTTGATGGCTAGCCAAACGCCTTTGGGACAGTCAAGTTACTTATATTTCTGTTTATACACGTGGCGCCTTTCTGACACCAATCTGCCACTCAAAGCACCATCACATTAAAATTCAACGTACAATTTGAATATTCTAAACAAGGAGACAAAAGTATATATTGACATACTATCTACAGTTGTTTAACACTGTCGCTGCAGTGGTGTTACAGTGAGCACTCTGGAATTGCAATCCAGATGTCGGCAGTTCGTTCTCCAAGCGCAGCGGTTGAAAAAAAATGGGAACGTTGCTTAAATCCTCCAAATCTTCTCCCACCCAGCAGTATAAATGGATTCACCACATTTAGTCGATCAACGGGATGCGTGTGGTGGGGTAAAGCGTGGGTACTCCCACCTCTTCCAAGACGTCTGGCAAAAGTGGAAGAGTAGGCCAAATACTCGAGAGAGTCCTCGAGAGCTCAATCTGGTGGGATGTCCTTCTACCAGCAGCGGTGTGAGCAAGGAATTGCAGGCCAACACTTTGCCATCGAATAACGTAAAATTAGCTCCCTCTCGTCGAATCCCCAAATAATATCCTCCTATCACCAGAACCACTAATACGCGCGCTGCCAACGTTTTAATTTCGGCAAGCAGATGGCAAAACTAACGGGGGAATCGCCGTCACATTCATCACTGACAGCGCTGGCCTACTGCAGGTGCCATGCCGCCCGTGCTACAGGAACGGAGGCTTCTCGGTGCCAAACTTTGGATGTCTCACCCTTGAGGGCGGCGAGCTCAACATTTCCAGTATGCACAATTTGCCGGGGGGACGGAGGAGGGGGTGAATATTGGATCCTTTCACTGGGCTGTCTGACATGTCCAATATCAAGTTAGACACACTTTCCCAGGCGGGCTGCCAAAACGGGATCCCATCTCTGTGCGCTGACTTAACGGGGGGTGGGGGGGGCGGTGGGGGGGACACGAGTACATCTGCTGGACTGCGGCTCACGTTCGACCGAGGGTTGCATGGGCCGAAGACGCCGATTGAAAGGAGAAGGGGAATACGAACTTCATAACATCCTCACAGAGCACACGATCGAAAAGGGGCAGAGGCGTGAGAGAGAGAGCGAGCGAGCGAGAGAGATGTCGGGCTGGCTGATAGAGCCATGTCATTTTGTTTACGTGCATTTTGAAGTTAGGGAGATTTGAATAAATACATGCAGACCTGTGTCAAGTAAAAAAAAAATACTTGCAAAGGCCAAAAAGCAGCATTTGCCGCCTACTGCGAAACTACCGCCGATAATATTTGTCCGTGAAAAAAAGCACATTCGTGATCACCTTGTGCTATATAAATGGCGCAAACGCCAGTGTACTAATGGTGTAATCATTGTATTGAACTAGTCAATGATGCAATCACTTGGTTAAGAATATTTGAGGTCGTATAGTAAGTTATGCAATGGTGCAAACAGCGTTTCCTGGCTAGCGTGTTTTCCCCCATACAGATTAGCGTGTCGATGGATGTGCGAATTAGGTGGAACACATGCTGCAGGTTTATTTATGCGGAATCATTTATCTACTAAGCGCCTGTATATGTTTTCCCAAGCATAAACTATGAAGCCATAAACACACCGAGGCTGGCTGAAATGCATTCGTTATAGCAGGCAATGAATGATGCAATGGAGTAAGGGTTTGTGAACCACATGGAGGTTATGCTGAGGTGCAAGACTCCCATCTATTGAGCTGCAGTGTGGCTTTTAGATAGCAGTAGAGCAAAAGGGGTTTCCTGACCCATCTGTGTGGACTTTTCCGCATTTATTTCAGTACTCGGGTTTCCTCTCACATGCAAAACTCCTTAAAAAAAGGAATTGGCCAAACGTCAGAAGGTACGAACCTCCCTAAAAAAGTAATCTTGAGACAGATATTTGATGCAGGGACACAAGTGGAAAACATAGCGGAATGTGTGTAGTGCCTATCTGGGGTAATAGTTGAAAAAGGCTTGGGATCAAAATGATGAAATGAAGAGGAAATCAAGCAGGATGTAGGTGCTTATTGAAAACCGAATTTGATAATGGCATTCAACATACCAACTTGCCTGAAAGAGAAAGTGTTCAATCACTGCACATCACCGACTATGTCATATATCAGCAACATGGTGCACTGAAAAATAAAATGAGACGAAAGATGAAAGGAATGCAAGAGGCGTGGGGAGGTGCACGCTTCGATTCCACTCAGCGTCAACCAAAAACGAGGAACACATCAGGGAACTGATACAAGCTGGGCTTGGACCTATGAAGAGTAGCAAGTGGGGTAGGGAGACCTTCACCCCACAATATATATACCAATATCATAGCTGGGGTCGATGATGGCGTAGGGAGACCTTCACCCCGCAATATATATACCAATATCATAGCTGGGGTCGATGATGATGAAAGCTGCACCAACAGCTATTTCCTTATCAGCCATTTTCTGATAAATATGTCCATCTTTATTTTGGCCCAGCCAACTTGTGAGTGTTCTCCTTGTGGCATGGCTCAACTGGCAGAGACATGATGATGATGGGTTTGATTAGGTGCCTGGCATTTATCCCAAGACACAAGAGACAGTTTTTGCATCCTTACTCTGAGTTTCCCTGCCAAAACTCTCTCTGTAATGCGCTTGCATCCATTAACATAACTCATTTTGTCATCTGTCCGAGTCGAAGGTGGCCTTTGATTCGGAAAGACCATGAGAAATGGCAACGGCACGGGTAGGCTTTCATCCAGAAGCGTTTCGCTCCACGTGCTGGGCGCTTCTTCAGCAGCTGAATTGAGTTCCTGAAGAAGCTCCCACCACGTGGAGCAACACGTCGGATATTGTGGCGAAAAACATGCTGTATAATCCAATCGCGCATTGTAGAGCTAATAATCACAACCGTGACACCACAGGCAGCAGCATGTATAAGCATTTTAACATGTAGGCTTTCGCGACCAATATCATCCATAATACAGGTATTTTGGGGTTATATTGCGGAAATATATAAATGTGTCGTTAAACCCGCCACCACCCGACACAGCCAATTAGTAAGGGTCGTCACGTAAAGTTAACATGCCAATTCGTTACTAGTTCAGCACACCGGTGTGTTGGAGAGCAAAGCCACAACATGTTTACGATGGTAAATGTTTACGACATGTTTACGATTGTAACATTACTAATTGGCTGTGTCGAGTGGTGGCGGGATTAACGACACATATTATATATATTTTTTATCCATCAGCCTACTGACTTTCTAGACCAATGCCAGCAAGCAGCCTTTGTTTAAGCAAGCAAATGCCAGATGGGTTACAATCTTCTGGGTTAGAGCATCAGAACCAGGCTTATTCATATTCTTGGTTCTTTCGGTAAAGTCACGTAGAAGGGAAACAATAAAATAATAAAAATTATAAAACAATAAAATTCTCACGACGTTTCGACTGCAGCACAAGCAATCATCATCAGGTGTGAAAACCACAGCAAGAAAATTTGAAAAAAAGTGGCGGTTATTTTATTGTTTCCCTTCTACGTGACTTTACCGAAAGAACCAAGAATATGAATCCCTGCAGTCACGAAAGCTTTAAATCAAAATAGAACCAGGCTTGTTGCGCCAACATGCTGCTGGCTTATCAGATGTCCTGGTATGTTGAACTTCTTTCGCATCATACGTAGCCAACCGTGCTCATCGGAGGTGCGGGAGAAGGAGAACAAACGATACACAAAAAGCAGTTCTGAAGAAATTAGTTTTCAATTTAGATGTAAAAGTACATAGCTCCAGTGGCTTCCTAAAATTGGAAGGAAGAGTCTTCCAGATGGCCGCAGAAGCGCATCTGACAGCGCGCGATGCGTTGACCGTTTTTGGTCTTTGGCAAGAACGCTTAATATGTAGATACAATATTTTTAAAGTATTTAAAAGTATCAACTTTTTGTATTTAATTTGAGCAGATAAGGCCCACTGAACTGTATAGCTCCTTTTCAGAAGCGACTTGGCCACAAATGATAGCTCAACCAAGTGGCTTCTCAAGGGGTAATTTATACCAGCCAAATACTCTAAATGCATGTCGATTCAAATGTGTAGGGAACAAACAGAGCAAAATCTATGTGACCACGAGGAGAACGCAAACACTCAAAATAAACAGGCGTCAAGGTCGGGAATGAATTCAAGACCTCCTGTATACCAGGCGAGGTAGTTAACATCACGCCACCGCGGCACCCTATGTGGACCTCATACAACGCAAAAAAGCAACTCTGTTTGATGTGGCTTGGTCGCATTAGTATCGAATCGATGCCGATGATGTTCGCAGAGATCCTGTTCCCCCTCCATTCCGCGGTCGGCGTTTTGTACCGGGCTCACGTTGAGTATCAATAGTGAACAACAACAACAAGAATCACGGTCGTTTGATGACACTTGCCGACGTGAGCCAAGCAATGAGGTCACTCACGTAGGGGAAACCGAAGAGGTTGAACTCGAACATGCCGGGGATGGCCCACTTGATGTCATTCCAGTTGGCCCCATTGTCACCAAGCCAGTGGCCGGCGTACGATCCCGATCCGGGCACCGTGGACCGGGAGTAGATGATGCTCCTCTTCTCCTCACCGAAGATGCGGACGATGGCCCTGTGAATTGGGGCGAAGGTGCCAGGCATAACGTCACCGCGCAACGACCCGGTCGTTTCGCCTGCCGCTCGGCGAGCAACGGAGTGATGGCGCCAGCCCGCATCGCGGCCTCCCAAGCCTGCGACGTTCATCGCATCACACACTCGCTTGCTGATTGATTCATGCGCACATGCATTTCTACCACTCTCTACAATTAGCACGGTTGGCTACGTACGGTGCGAAAAAAGTTCAACATACATACATGTACGTAGAATATATATGCATCGGGCTAAGCTTTGTCTCTTAGAGTCTGTAAACTTTGAAAGCCAACCTTGATAATCTAAGACGTAGCTTCTTGTGCTAAGTGCAGGATTTCACGTGTGTGCTGTACAGCTTTCCAACGTGTTTACGTGAAGAAGCTGCCAGCAAAAATGCCCAATAACACGCGGCACAAGCAGAAAATACATTGGAGGACCATAAAATAGTTTCCCAATGAGGACGTTCCTCTTTCAAGAACAACGCTCCTCTCGTATGTAGAACAATACCGAATCTGCTTTACATTTCAAAACCAGACCATGAATGTGCATTTTTAATGTGTGATTATATCTGCTACTGAGATCGCTCGTCTTAAAAAAAAGTTTGTATTTTAATTTTTTCCGTCTTATATGGCTATGCAGTGCCCCACTGTTTTTAATTAATGTATCTGTTTGATGTACGGTATGTGTATATCTTTTTTGAGTTTTAATGCAGTTAACATATCACGCGTTTATTTTACAGTTCGTTAACTGAAGCCTTGAAGACCAAAGAGTCGATGAAATAAAACATTTTATTTGTGTGCGTAGAAACAGAAGGGACTTTTATTTATTTGTTTGATAACGAGGAATTCATGCCAGATATGCCCGGGCACCATCAATTAGAGGGCAGTGCACTTACCAATACCATCTGGGAAACCGGCAGAATGTGTTTATCAAGAGTGAAACCCGAGAAGGTCAAAACCCAACCAGAGTTTTTCTTACTCTTTGGTTCTTCATCACCTGATGAAGGCCGCTTGTGTTGTGGCCGAAACGTCGTGATTTTTGTTGTTTTATTTTTTACCTACGTGACTTTACCGAATATAACCAAAGAGTATGGATCCTTGCAGTCACGAAAGCTTTAAATCTAGAAGAGTTTTTCTTCTTTGATCAAATGCTATTATTTCGCACGTTTATAAGAGACTTAATTAAAATGTTATATTGTTACGTTGAGATATGGAATGGGAGGTCAGTTTATTAAGTGGGTTTAAATTCAAGCAGTCAATCCTGCGTGTCACACCGGTTTGTGACAACACGTAAAGTGCTTTCGAAGTCCAAATGTTACGAAAATGCAATTGCCTTGCGCTAAAACCTACCGGTAGGCTTAGGTGCATCTCGGCTCATGCATGCAATCCATGGACACGGTTGTTGGTGGATAACATAAAGATGGCACCGTCACATGGGTGATAAGCCACGTCGCTGGGCAAATCAATGGGTGTTGCGAGCAGTGCAGCAAGTAGTTTTCTGGCCTATGCATGTCGACTCTGACTTATTATCCTTGTACGGGTGCTGCTGTCGTGATAAGTTTGGGGCACTGGACATGCAGTCTGGAGGTTGCCGCTTCGATCTATCAGTGGGCGGCAGTTGAAAAAATGGGGGGGGGGGGGGGGCATTTTTTTAAAGTCCCTCCGCTTCGGTCAACACAGCGGCGTAAATGAGCACACCACAGTTAGTCGATCGGTAGGAGGCTGATGGCGGGGTAAAGTGTGGGTACTGCCAGCTCTTCCAAGATGGTTTCTGCAGTGGAACATCTGCCAGCAGTGGCTTGAGCCAGTAATTGTAGGGCTGCACCCTTACTGTCTTAGAACGTCTAATTTATGCTTGAAACTGAAATAATGAAAAAGGAATTGGACAAATATTTCAAGACCCTTCTAAATAGATATAAAAAATTCACTGGTGGTTTCTTAGGTCGAAATGTAATATCGTTGTTTTATATTCGTGTTCATGCGGTGTGTGTGTGGGTGCATGCGTGCCTGGCAGTGGTTAGCGTGCTACACTATAATCCTGGCTTCCCAAGTTAGATTCTCGCCCATGACCAACACCAGGGACGATTATCTGAACCGGTCCTGGACCTCCCATAGGTCGACTCAGCCTCGCCTTTGTGGTCGGGCGTGGTGCTGGCCACCCAAGTGCCCTCATGTAAACTGTGCCGGCCTTCGAAGGGAGACGCGGCACAGTGGATAGCAATGCGATGAACCCAGAGACCTGCGTTTGAGTCCCATCCACGGCTACCATCAGTGGCTATCGATATCTGAATTGGTCCTGGGACCCTGTTACGCTGACTCAGTTTTAATTATAGGGGCGATGATTACTATGCACAATCTGAATTGAGCAATTTGCGGGTAATTGTTTTATTTGGCAAATTTGAACCATGAAGCTGGTAAATAATGGCCTATTATTGCGAATGACGTCACATATTCTTTATTGTCTGCTGTTAAGCTGGTGACGAGTATTTTTACGGTTAATACACCGCAGTAATAACCACGTGGGGGATATTTGTTTACGTGTTCACGTATGCAAGCATGTGTCCATGTGTATGTACGTGTGCGCGTATGCATGCTTGCATGCACGTGATTACACATGTACGTGCATGTATGCATGCATGCCTTGTGCTTTCATTTCAGTACACACGCCTGCCTCAGTGTGCCATGGTATGAGCAGTATAATGAGGCTCAGTCTGTTATCTCGGTCAGGAGTGTGAATACACAACCTGCTGTCATGAAGGCAGGCTTCTTCCAAGCAAGCTATGTCCTTAAACATCAATCAGGCCATCTGCAACGGCGACACTGAATGCATAATGTAGGCAGTGCAAGTGGGTGGTTTTTCACCAAACCATTTCACGTTCGCAACTGATTAAAACATATCTCACCTACGCTGTATTAAGTAATTTATGGTGGCTCAGTATGTGCGTCGCTTTGGTATTATTCATCTATATTTTAACTGGAATTACACTGTCAAAGTTTATTCTATTATTGAATTCCGCGAGTGGATATATCTTGTTCGTTTGTGTGAACAAAGGTTTCGTTAACGATTTAAAGTTTAATTTTTAATTGAAAAAAAAAAATGTTAGCTTTTGGAAATTGGTTCCACACTCGCCTTGTTGCAGGCTTTATTTCTAAGCATATTTTTTCATAAATCGAGCGCTCTATTTATTGGTTATTACTGGGCTTACACATGCATATAAATTAAAAGTTGACGATGGTGAGATTATGATGATGGTAAATAGGAAAAGGCGCAGCCCTGCAATTTCTCGCTCATGCCCCTGCTGGCGGAAGGGCTTCTGCTCGAGGGGGCTGCAGAGTGCTTCCCTCGAGGATATTTGGCCTACTCTTCCACGCTGACCAGACATCTTTGAACAGGTGGTAGTACCCACACTTTACCCCCACCGCATGCGACCTGCCGATTGACGAACATTTATACCGCTTGGAGGGACAGGTGGAGGATTTAAGATACCTACCCCACTGTTTCAACTGCCCGTGCCGGAAGATCGGCTCAAAACCGGCGAACTTTAAATCGCAAGTTCAGTGGTACTAACCATTACATCACGGCAGCATCCCTAACGATGATTGGTTTTGACATATATTCGTAAGTACGGTTCACTAGGATAAATATGATGCCAATATTGTTCAGAGTTCTGACTGATATCAAAGCCTTCAATGTGCTGCTTTTAAAAAAAAATCCCCACACAGTTCACAACTCTAGAAAGTTTCTCACTCATATATTCTGCTGCTCAAACACAGTGTGGCAATATTCAGACTCGCTGCAATGTTCTCGAGCAATGTTTTCAAATATGACAACAGGGGAGGGCACGCATGTTAATTTCCACGCCTTTTTAAATTATTGTTTGAAATTAAGCTAAGCGGTGCATTTGGGAGACCGTGACAGATGCTGAGACATAAGCTCCATTCAGCACGGGAAGCTTAATACAAACGAGCATTAAAAATGAGTTTTTTTTCCCCCCACATGAAGTAGAATTGTTCACCACTGGAAAATGTTTTCAAATGAAATGCACATACATGAAATGAAACCTAATGTGATCATCTTCACACTACTGATTTTTTATTATTGTCTCCAAGGCTGATGCCAAGCTTTGAAATATTTGTACAAAGCAGACTAAAAACAGTTAAACATCTCATTCAAATATAATCCTTACCGCAGAGGCTTTAAGTAATTTCAGGCAGGCACATTTCCCTTCTATAGAATAATATATTGCATATAACACGTGTTTTATGAAGTTCTATTCTTAAAGCTCTGACCAACATATACCACAAATACTTAGTTTTGTTGTTCGAAAATGCTGATTTAATTATGTTGGGGTTATTTGCTGTGGCTGCTGCGGTACAAAATATTTATTTTGCCATTTTCTGCCCCTGAGCATTTATTTTCATTCCAAAGAGAGAAATATTGGATTATGCCTCTATTGAGAGCTGGATGTTAGCAAATGGGAAAAGCATTTTCAATCAGAATTACAAACACAGAGAAAACTAAATACTGTTAAAGGGATCATAATATCTCTGCCCACCAACATTTCCATAAATTTATATATCTGATTATTTTATATTTATTACCCCTAAAGACCCATGCGAGGAGGAGGCAGTTTGTTTACAATGAGGAACATATGGCAGCATGCAAACACTTGCGAATGGGAATAACAATACACCACTGTAATAATTTATTTGCTCGTATAAAAAGGCATCAATGTGTCTCAAGACGATTATTCAGGAGGGCCATACTACCGTGGTTACTGTTGCCATGAACTTCACTCATTGATTCCTCCACCCATGCTGAAGCCTCGGTCTACCATACACTGACTCTTTAATCTGAACTCTTTCTCAGAAGCCACCTGGCCACAAATGATAGCTCAACGAAGTGGCTTATCACGTGTATATCTATAGCAGCCAAATAGTCTGAACGGACGTTTTTATTAATGTAGGGGGAAAAACCGGAGGACCCGGATAAAAATCCACGTGACCACGGGGAGTAGGTGGAAACTCCAAATAAACAGGTATCGTCATGGTCCGAAATTTAACCCACGACCTCCTGTACATCAGATGAGGTAGTTAACATCTCGCCACCATGACGCCCTCAATGACATCAAGTGAAATTAATATCCAAGAAATATGGATGCGTGCGCAGACACACAGCCGCTGAACTGTAGCCTAACACTGCCACAAATTCATTCATTAGATTCAACCTCTAATCTGAGAGGATACGTTTTATTTTTATTCTCTTTAATACGTATTGTGGTCAGTGGAGTATGGCAGATTAACAGGCTTCATAAATGATCAGAGCTACAGATGTGCAATGGCCTTAAACCCACATGGGATGAACTGACAGATGACTTACTGATGACACGGAGATTATATCCCACCCGGTACATAATGAATAGATAAGTTCACTTGGTTATGGTCCACTTAGGGCCCCAAGTCAATGTCTGTGCTACACATGTGGGTTTACATGTGAGATGTGTACACGAGTGTGTACTTGTCCGTCATTGACAAAACATGTGTGACCGTGTCTTTGTGTGTCCGGCGACCCGGGTTCCATTCCTGCTCACGGCCAACACCAGTGGCAATTATCTGAACCGGTCTTGGGCCTCCCCTAGGTCGACTCAGCCTCAAAATAAGTACCTGGTGCGGCATGTAAACATCGCCATTGGGGAGACAAAGGCGGTCGGGCGTGGTGCTGGCCACCCACCCCCTCGTGTACTGTTCCGGCCTTCATAGGTGCTCGATAACAGCACTTGCCTCAACAGTCTATTAAAGGATATACAGGAGGTCTTTGTCTATGTGTATCAAAGTCATGATGAGCGATCGTTTGTGATCGTTAGGTGCGCAATATATCAATGTATCTTTTCATCAAATGCAATATTATACAGCACTCAGGGTAAATGCATTTAACTTTGACGAATATAAAATATTGATACATGCATATTATATGCAAATTATATTCACATGTCATATTTTATACCAACGGAGTGAACAATTATGTACTACATTGAGGGAAAAAGTAATTGATCCCCTGCTGATTTTGTGCGTTTGCCCACTGACGAAGAAATGATCAGTCTATAATTTAAATGGTAGATTTATTTGAACAGTGAGAGACAGAATGACAACAAATAAATCCAGAAAAAAACGCATGTCAAAAATCTTATAAATTGATTTGCATTTTAATGATGGAAATAAGTATTTGACCCCTCTGCAAAACCTGACTTAGTACTTGGTGGCAAAACCCTTCTTGGCAATCACAGAGGTCAGACGTTTATTGTAGTTGGCCACCAGGTTTGCACACATCTCAGGAGGGATTTTGTCCCACTCCTCTTTGCAGATCTTCTCCAAGTCATTAAGGTTTCGAGGCTGACGTTGGCAACTCGAACCTTCAGCTCCCTACACAGATTTTCTATGGGATTAAGGTCTGGAGACTGGCTAGCCAACTCCAGGACCTTAATGTGCTTCTTCTTGAGCCACTCCTTTGTTGCCTTGGCCGTGTGTTTTGGGTCATTGTCATGCTGGAATACTCATCCACGACCCATTTTCAACGCCCTGGCTGAGGGAAGGAGGTTTTCACGCAAGATTTGACAGTACATGGCCCCGTCCATCGTCCCTTTGATGCGGTGAAGTTGTCCTGTCCCCTTAGCAAAAAAACACCCTCAAAGCATAATGTTTCCACCTCCATGTTTGACGGTGGGGATGGTGTTCTTGGGGTCATAGGCAGCATTCCTCCTCCTCCAAACACGGCGAGTTGAGTTGATGTCAAAGAGCTCCATTGTGGTCTCATCTGACCACAACACTTTCACCCAGTTGTTCTCTGAATCATTCAGATGTTCATTGGCAAACTTCAGACGGGCATGTATATGTGCTTTCTTGAGCAGGGGGACCTTGTGGCCGCTGCGGGATTTCAGTCATTCAAGGTGTAGTGTGTTACCAATTGTTTTCTTGGTGACTATGATCCCAGCTGCCTTCAGATCATTGACAAGATCCTCCCGTGTAGTTCTGGGCTGATTCCTCACTGTTCTCATGATCATTGCAACGTTACGAGGTGAGATCTTGTATGGAGCCCAAGGCCGAGGGAGATTGACAGTTCTTTTGTGTTTCGTCCATTTGCGAATAATCGCACCAACTCTTGTCACCTTCTCACCAAGCTGCTTGGCAATGGTCTTGTAGCCCATTCCAGCCTTGTGTAGGTCTACAATCTTGTCCCTGACATCCTTGGAGAGCTCTTTGGTCTTGGCCATGGTGGAGAGTTTGGAATCTGATTGATTGATTGTTTCTGTGGACAGGTGTCTTTTATACAGGTAACAAGCTGAGATTCGGAGCACTCCCTTTAAGAGTGTGCTCCTAATCTCAGCTCGTTACCTATATAAAAGACACTTGGGAGCCAGACATTTTTCTGATTGAGAGGAGGTCAAATACCTATTTCCCTCATTAAAATGCAAATCAATTTATAACATTTTTGACATGCGTTTTTGTGGATTTTTGTTGTTGTTATTCTGTCTCTCACTGTTCAAATAAACCTACCATTAAAATTATAGACTAATAATTTCTTTGTCTGTGGGCAAATGTAAAAAATCAGCAGGGGATCAAATACTTTTTTCCCTGACTGTAGCTATATCCACAACAAAATAAAATGAGGCTCACAATAACCATATTCTGGAATCAAATTGCGAGTCCAAATGTGATCTCACATTACACCACGTGTTGTTGAGCATGTCCAAAGTTTCACTTCACATTCTGGGGGCTTGCTCAGGAAATAAAAAAACAGTTCCTGATGAAGTTAGATCCTGAAGACATTTCACTATCTCCCTCCTACGGCAAGTGTTGGACCGACTGTACTCAAATCAAGTGGCGTCCATGAGCAAGTTATGTAACTTCCACATTACCATGGCAGGATCCAGTCACTACTACAATCAATGTTGAGATCGCACACATACCTTATTATCATTATTAGTTGTTCGTTACCCTCATTTTATACTGATTGTGCTATTGGAATCATGTCACGAGGTGATTTCTGGTCCATCACTCGCAATTTTTGTGCAGTGTTTCAGCGTAAATTTATTATATTTTTTTATTTAAAAAATATCCCTGTAGTTAGTTATAACAATAAAAAAACATTTTTCGTAAGCCGAGCTTACATGTACTTTGAAAATATACCTACAAGGCTAAAACTCTGTGCTAATTTACTTTTTTAATCTTCTAATGGTGTTCCTGTTAGAGCTGTCATTGTTCCACAACTACAGTGACGCTTCGAGTCACGTGGTTTCGTCTGCACGCGCTACAAGCACATGCTGTTGTTTTCGTCGCTGCTCGTGTTTTTATAGTCGCTGGTTGTGAAATTTGTTGGTGTTTTAGCTACAATATTGTGGTAATTAGTATTTGTGAACGTATATCAATAACTTTTTTTGAGAATGAAGTACTAATTAAAGGAAATATTCTAATTTAAAGGTGTAATTAAAATTTTGTTTACGTCACTACTATTGCCATTACATTCAGTGATATACGGGAATTACCATTTACGAGTAACATTAGTACACAAAACATTACTAAGGATTCTGTACGGTCTGGTACAGGCGGAGGTCCATGGGGGGTGACACCATGAGTTACCGCACTGGGTGACACCAACCAGAGTGACGTCACTGTTAATCACAGATGGATTTCAACCCAGTATGTACGTGTCTATGTTGAATTTCCTTTTCACACCGTACGTAGCCAACCACGTTAATCGGAGGTGCGGGGGAAGGACAACAAAATAAACACAAAAAGCAGTTTTAAAACAAGGAGTTTTCAATTTAGTATCGTGGTGTAGCGTAGTGTATAGTAAAGAGTATAGTGTAGTGTGTAATGTATAGCATAGTGTATGTAGTGTATCGTGTAGCATAGTATGCATGTTGATCTTCTTTCACACCGCACATAGCCAACTGCGCTAATCTGCGCAGTTCTAAAGAAGTGAGTTTTTTTTTGCGTGGTGCCAGACGAGAAGCCCCGTCCCCCGAGCCGACTTTGGCCGCCTCATCGCGATACGAATCCCCCGGACGTGGCGAATCAGCCGCCGACACGCGTTGCGTTCGGGCGCGTGGCACTTACTCGTGCGTGGCGAGGGACATGTAGTGTCCGTACAGGCTGTGGACGTCATAGTGCCTCCCCAGCGTGTGCACGGCATCCATGCAGAGGGTCTTCGAATACAAGAGTCCGTCAAGAATGCCTTTAAAAAACACAACAACATACACACGCGCGCGCGCAAAGGACACGCCATCAGCACACAAGCCACACATGTACAATAATTGCACCCTAAGGGGGCAGCTCGCATTGCAATTGCTCACGTAAGTGGGGGTGTCTTCCAGCCAGAACGTGGCACACTCTCTCTCTCTCTCCATTTTTTTTCTCAAACAAAATAATTGAAGCCCACAGGGCAGAGCGAGAAACACTTTGCAAAAATTAACTGCTTCCTGCGCTGTGTGGCGGTGAAAGGTCACGGCAATCCTGTTTCCAATAATTTAACTTTTTTTTTGCACGGGATCATTTACCCTTGGTTCATCTCTCCAGCAGGAGATGGGAGACGTAGCTCAACAAAGGAGATTCTACTCGAACCTCCTCATTATATTTCATAGATCATCCACGAATGATCGCCGCTTTCCACACACTCACAAACTAAATCTCGGCACGCTTAACACCTGCCGATGATAAGTCTTCTTTATAACGCCGCAAGATAAAGGAAACATACATCTCTACGTTTAATCAAAGCTGTGTTTAACCTTTTCAAATCCAAGCCACCTTTGACTGGGACAGATGGCAAAGGAGTTCTATTAATGGATGCCAGTGTGTTATAGACGTGGTTTTGGCTGGGAAACATAAGAGTAAGGGTGAAAGTAACATTTTCTTGGGCTAAATTCCCGGCCTGTAATCAAACCCATCATCCTGTCTCTTCCAGCTTGGCCGGGCACGTGCAAGCAGTCTGATCATATGAATAATTTGTTGGCCACAAGGAGAACACTCGCAAGTTGGCTGGGTCAAAAATGCCACGTGATGGGTTTTTTTTCCACATTTTATTTATATGCATATTTCTCAAAAGTAACGACGATGTAAGTTTTGTCCGTTGACTGAGAAGGTAGTAGTAGTTTGCATAGCCTTCATCATCACGATCATCCGTATGGGCCAGGGATGATTAACTGCTGAGTGAAGGCCTGCCTATGTTATCACCATACTCATCCCGTAATTACTTCAGTGTTAAATAAACACTGCCCAGTAGGGAAAGAAAACCGTGGTTAAATCGCCCTCCGGACAGACTGGCCCCACCATGGCAAGGTGGATTAACTCAAACTGGCTCAGGGCCACAGATAAATATGAGCACAGCTCGTAGGTGGGACGAGGAGGAAGAGAGGAGGGGGTGAAGGGGGAACACACATTGACACTTCTGGTTTCCCCGTCGACAGCTGCAATATCTATTAACAGTTTTGACTCGATCGCACACATTCACTCTGCGTGCCTGGATGAACAATCGTCTCTGCGGGCATCAGCGACCCCTGATTGTTAATCCTACTCCCAATGCCTTGGAGGAGCCTTTCCATCTGGCATTAGGGATGCTGCGCAGACGTAAGCGTCCCGGCGACAAACTGGCAGGCCGGGTGTGAGACGGCAGACATTAACAGGAACGGTATTGAGCAGGGATTGTTGTTAGCTTTTTTTTAGATATATACCTGCCCTCTTTACAATTTCAATCACAGCCGAGTGACTCGCGCGCGCAAAAAAAAAACGGGGCTGTAGTTACACAAACACGGGGGGCGGTGGGCGGCAGGGGCGAGCGCACGGGCATACGGCAGAGCCGGCGCAATCGAAAGGCGAAACCGAGAGCATTAATCAATAGGGAGCAAGAGGGAATGCCGTCCATGTGCAAACAAAACTCTCCCTAATGCCCGTCCCCGCGAGATGCAAGGTGAAATTTAACTCTTCGCTGTGTGGACGCTTGGCGCCCACGTAATCCTCCGGTAGCGCAGCACGGCCTGACCGCTCGCGCCCAGCGCGGTGTCTGTGTGTGGCGTCGACTGTCGCTTTCTGCAGACGTTCACGAATTTGACCGGCGGTGAGGTGTTAACTATCTCGCCTGGTATAGAGGAGATCGTGGGTTCTATCTCGACCCCTGTGTCTGTGTATTTGGGGTTTGCATGTTTCTCTCCCCATTGCCGCGTGGATTTTATGTTCGGGTCCTCCGCGTTTTCCCTCCACATTTAGAATAAACGCGCGTTTAGAGTATTTGTCTGCTATACATTTCCAGGTGATAAGCCACTTCGTTGAGCTATCATTTTTGTTAAGGTCGCTTCTGAAAAATATCTATATAGCTCAGTGGGCCTTACCTGGTAAAATAAAAAAAAACAGTTTAGTTTTAGTATGCTTTAGCTTGCGTCGATTCTCTCACTTCTAAAATGCGGTGAAGTATTCCCTCATGAATATTGATTTAAAGCTTTCGTGACTGCAGTAATTCATATTCTTAGTTCTTTCGGTAAAGTCACGTTGAAGGAAAACAATAAAATAATAAAATATATATAAAACAATAAAAATTCTCACGACGTTCCGACCATAACACAAACGGTCGTCATCTGGTGTGTCGGTTTGCATACATTTATTTATTTTCAAAGGTGTATTTGATTATTTATTTATATATAAAAAAAAACGTTAGCGCCACGCACAGCGATTTGGCAGTTTATTTAGAAGGACTAGTCCATCTATGTTCTGAAAAGATGAGGGGGGAGACGAAAAATTTAATGTATGCTGTCTGAAAGCCACTTTAAGCATGAACAATCAATTAAGACCTGAAATGGTTTATCAAATCTTTCCAATGATTGCTAAGCCAGAATCCATCTTCTCGGTTGAAATTGTCTCTGTGCTTGTATATGTGGATAGCCTCATGAACGAATCTCTCATGGTAGCCAGATGGCTTACAAAGAACCTCTGTCTTGGAAAAGTCAATGTCATGTGAGCCTACTGAATTATAACAATGGTCTGCCACGGCCGAGGTGTTGGTCCTACCATGTTTAAGGTCTGCTTTGTGTTCACGAATGCGGTCCGAGACATGGCGTTTGGTTTCTCCAATGTAACTACTACCACAGAGGCAACTTAGTTCGTAGACACCAGGGTATTGTATGTCCGGAATCGCATCTTTTACAGACGGAACCAGATCACGGATTTTTTGTAATGTGTTGAAACGGACGTGGATCTTGTGTTTATTCAAGATTTTGGAGATCTTTTTTGTGATCCCCGCAATGTAGGGTAAAGTGATAGTTTTGAAAGGCTCCTCAAGAGGATCCTTCTTCATGGTTTGAGTGATAGCTTTGCGGATTGTATAGTCGGAGTAACCATTAGCCTTAAGAGCTTGGTGTACGTGCTTGAGTTCACTGCCTATGTGTTCCTGGTCGGATATGCATTGGGCTCTATGATACAGAGTCTTGATGAGAGAATTCTTCTGTGATGGATGGTGGTGGGAATCCGGTTTCAGATAAGCATCCGTATCGGTAGCTTTCCTGTAGACAGAGTGGCTCATTGAACCATCAGGTCTCTTTTTAATTAGGACATCCAAAAAAGGCAGCTTGCCATCTTTTTCGACTTCCATGGTAAATCTGATGGCTGGGTGTATGGAATTGATGTGGTCGAAGAATTGGTCTAGAGCAGGCCGGCCATGTGGCCAGATGACAAAAGTGTCATCCACGTACCTCTTCCATAAGGTTGGGCGCAGAGTGGCAGTCTGGATGGCGTCAGTCTCAAATTTCTCCATGAAAATGTTAGCTATAACCGGAGATAGGGGGGAGCCCATTGGGGTGCCCTCAGTTTGTTTGTAGAAAGTTCCATTCCAAGTGAAGTATGTATTGGTTTAACAGTATCTCACCAGGGGGGGTACCTCAGTGTTTAGTCCTTGATGAACCAAGTCTTCAATGATTGTGATGGTGTCAGGTACAGGAACCTTGGTGAATAAGGAAACTACATCAAAACTGACAAGCAGGTCGTCTGGGGACAGGGAAATACCTTTGATTGTCGATACCAGGTGAGTAGAATTTTGTACCGCAGAGGTGGTTTTTCCAGTGAAATGACGCAGAATTTCAGACAAAAAACGAGGCAGTTTGTAGGTGGGGGAGTTGATAGTAGAGACGATGGGACGAAGGGGTGTATCTACTTTATGTATTTTTGGTAAGCCGTATAATTTTGGTGGCCTGGCAGCAGAAGGTTTCAATGAAAACTGTTTAGATTGATCAATTAATGCGGTTTTAATCAGAAATTATTTTGTTGGTTTGTGTGACGAGGCTGTTGGTGGGATCTCTTTTTATTTTTGTATAACTACCATCGTCGAGTAATTCTTTAATTTTGTTGTTGTATTCTATTTTATCCATGATGACAGTAGCATTGCCCTTGTCAGCTGAGAGGACTACAATATCATCCCTCTTTTTTAATTTATATAATTCAAAACGCTCATCTTTGCTGAGGTTGCTAGCTGGCATCTTAGCGTTTTGAGGGTTGCAGCGATTTCAGATCTTGCTACGTCTGCAGCGATGTGACCCAGGCCCCTGAGAGCAACGTCTACTTGGGCAATTATATCATTAACTGGTATGTGTTCAGGTGTGACTGCAAAGTTTAGACCTTTAGCTAAAAACGGATTTCAGACCATCGGAAATAGAACTGTTACTGCGATTAATTACGACTTTGTTCATGTCTAACTTTTTGGTGTGTGGGTCCGGTTTTTTGTTGAAGAGGAGGTTAAATTTGGAAATCAGGTTGTCCTTACATTTGGTCGACATAGTAGCAGCTGAAGAGGCAGTCATATTGTCTACATGTTCCCAATCCGATGTGGACATTGTTGCCGTCAATTATAAGTGTGATTTGTAGAGTGTCTTGTCTAACTGATCTAGTTCGGTGCGTATAAGTCTGATTTTTTCTGAGATAAGAGCTAAGCTAGTTTTGAAAATAATTCGTTTCGCATTAGAAGAAGTTACAGCAGCAGAGGTCAGTGTAAATGCGATTGGTATTACCCCAGAGTCGCGGCATCTCTTCAGAAAGGTGAGGGACTCGATCAGCTGAGCCTTCTTATCCCGGAGTTTGTTGAAGGATCTTAAAGTTACGTGAAAACCCTCCCCGTAGAGGCGGTTAATTTTGATTTAAAGCTTTCGTGACTGCAGTAATTCATATTCTTAGTTCTTTCGGTAAAGTCACGTTGAAGGGAAA